TCAGTAATCCAGGACTCCTCTTTGTACTTTTCTCTAAATTACTCTTCTAAATTGCTTCATCTGAATTTTCCCTTTGTTTTATGCTGAGAATTTTGGTATCATAAACATCTCATTCATCATATGCTTATAATAATTCTGGAAGATAGTTACTCCGAGGTGCATCTTGTCTTAGTGACTCACATCCGACTCATTATCAAACGAGAGAATACGAGGTAGGGTAAAAATACAGTAATTTGGCAGGTGTTAACCTGGAGGGACTCCATATGAGTTAAGCCACAAATAAAGTAAAATAAAAGATTCTTCAGTGTCACTTTTACAAGCAGACTAACATTTAAATAATTATCCCTTTGTAGAGTAGCAACCTTTGGAAAATTCAATACTCCGTACACTCAGAAGACTCTATCGATTGGTGGTACACGAAAATAACTTACTTGTTCTCCTTACTCTGTAGCTATTCTCGAATAGGAGGAAACACTTCTCCACTTCCCTTTTGAATAGTTAGGTGAATTTCGATTCACATTAAAGTATTTTTCCCTGTGAAGTTCTATCATAAAATTTTATGCACCTATATAATTGTTTAAAGATTTTGGCTCTATTGCGTTGGTTCAGACAAGATAAAATGATACTCTTTAGCTACTATATGATTTTTGATATGAACCTCGCTATCCTTTTAATGGAGTCTTATAGATGAAAACATGACCCAGAACTGAGTATAAACCCTGCACATTATAACTTTGAGCCAATATTGCAAATTGGATTCTCTGAGCCATTTTTTCCCCTGTTGATGCACCCTAATGAAACAAATAACACCAATTGCAAGATACAAGAACTACTTTTCATAGCAAAATTGGTTGTTGAAATCACAGGGCTGTGTACTAGCCCACTAGTTGTTTTTTTTTTTTTTAATTTTTTTAAATGTTTATTTATTATTGAGAGACAGAGAGAGACAGAACATGAGCATGGGAGGGACAGAGAGAGGGGGAGACACAGAATCCGAAGCAGGCTCCAGGCTCCGAGCCGTCAGCACAGAGCCCGACGCGGGGCTCGAAACCATAAACCGGGAGATCGTGACCTGAGCAGAAGTCAGACGGTTAACCGACTGAGCCACCCAGGCGCCCCACTAACCTACTAGTTCTTGAACATAGAAGCAATGTAATTACTGTAGTACCATGCAGTACTATTTAAAAAAAAAAAAAAAGTTTACTCTCTGGGCTGGGACCTGGTTTGCAGCAACTTGGTAAAACACGCCAAGATGTTAGGAATCATCGGTAAATAGAAGATCTCCCTCACCCTGTTATGGTGCCTCCCTCAGGAAAATGGTGAAGAAAACTGAAAGAAGCCAGCGTGCCAAATACACTTGCTCCTTCTGTGGCAAAACCAAGTTGAAGGGATGAGCTGTGGGGTTGTGGTTCCCTCATGAAAACAGCAGCCGGTGGTGCCTGGACCCTCCACACCACTTCTGCCGCCACTGTAAAGGCAGACATCAAAAGACTGAAGGAATTGAGGGGTGCCTGGTTGGCTCAGTCAGTAGAGCATGCGACTCTTAATCTCGGGGTCATGAGTTCAAGCTCCATGTTGGACAATGGGGCCTACTGAAAATTAAAAAAAGTCGGAGACTGGGGCACCTGGGTGGCTCATTCGGTTGAGTGTCTGACTCTTGATTTTGGCTCAAGTTGTGATCTCAGGGTCACGGGATCGAGCTCCGTATCGGGCTCATGCTGAGCATGGAGACTGCTTACGCTTCTCTCCCTCTGCCCCTCTCTAAAATAAAACAATTTTCCAAAAGCAAAAGACTAAAGGAATTTCCAGACCAGTAGAAGCTCCACCATTTGACACCCGGTTGGCCTATAGTAAATGTGTTAATTTATGTAACAACAACAACAAAAAGAAGAAATGGTTAAGCATAAATGCAGTTTAAAATGAGATAGACTCAGTAGTTCTGCTCACAGAAAATAAAATAAAATGACATAAACTTCTCTGAAGCAAAAAATACGGCATTCAAACCAAAGCCAACAACAAGAAGTGTAGAAATAAATATTCAAGACAAAAATACAGGCAGCCTACAGAAATAACTTAAAAAGCCCTAGGATACCAATGGGCAGAGACTACAGATACATAATTCACAAAAGAGAAAATGCAAATTGCTAATAAACAAGTTACTCTCACAAAGAAATGCAAATGTGAAAGTACAGTGGTTTTAAATATCTCGTATTAGTAAATATTAAAAATAATACACTGTTGAATAAAAGTGGTGGGAGTGGACACCCTTGCTTTGTTCCTGATCCTGGGGGAAAAGCATGTGGCCTGTCATTGTTAAGTATGATGCTAGCTGTGCATTTTTCATAGATGCTCTTGACCACACCGAGAGCTTTTTTCTATTCCCAAATTCCTTTTTGTTCTCTGTGTTAACAATAACACCCTGTGTTGGCAACAGTCAACAAGATAGACCCAGTACGCTCTGCTGTGGGAGGGTAAGTTTGCACGCTCTCTAGAAATCAAGTTAGCAGAATGTATCAGGTGTTTTTAGGCCATATTTTATGTCAATACATTTATTTCTATGTGTCTGACTTAAGAAAGTAATCTGATTGGGGAGGGCATTCGGTTAAGTGGGCGAGTCTTGATCTCAGCTCAGGTCATGATCTCACAGTTTCTGAGTCCGAGACCTGGTTAACACATTGGGCCCTGCATTGATGGCGTGGAGCCTTTTTGGGATTCTTTCTCTCCTTCTCTCTGCCCTTCACTCACTTGTGTTCTCTCTCTCTCTCAAAATAAATAAACAAACTTAAAAAATTTAACAAAAAGAAAGTAATCTGATATATGGGTAAAGATTGTTTGCAAACATATTCATTACGGAGTTATTCATAATTCATAATCGAAACTAACATCAGGTCAATATGAGGAGAATGTTTAAGATGAGAATAACATGCAACTACTCAACTTTAATTCACAAAGCCTCTTTAATGTCGTGGGGGAAATGCTGATAAATGAAAACAAATTATAGTGACGATCAGATGTGGCCCAGGAACTTGGTTTTGAGTCAAGGCAGTGAGGTGAATGGATACAAAGGGGGATAGGACTGTGAGATCCTGATCTGGGACATGATGTTGGGACCAGAGATGGGAGTAAAGACTCCAATTAGGGTCACAGATCAGAACTGTGGGCTTGGTGGGCAAAGGGCGAGAACAAAAGCGAGAACAAAAAGAAAAAAGAGAGTCATCTGTGAGGAAAGACCGAACAAAGACCACCCTGCTTAATATGGAAAACAAAACGTTTTCCTTGGGTAAGCCCACCCATCCTCAGCACCAGCGTGAAATCTAGTACTCCGAAGCAAACTTTGTCCTTTTTTTTTTTTTTTCATTTTTTAAAAATGTTTACTTACTTTTGAAAAGGAGAGACACAGAGTGTGAGTGGGGGAGGGCCAGAGAGAGAGGGAGACACAGAATCCGAAGCCGGCTCCAGGCTCCGAGCTGTCAGCACAGAGCCCGACGCGGGGCTCGAACCACGAACCGTGAGATCATGACCTGAGCTGAAGTCGGACGTTTAACCGACTGAGCCACCCAGGCGCCCCAAAAGCAACCTTTTTCTACTCGCAGCAAAAAATGACTGGAAAGAAACACACCAAAATGTTAAGAACGATTTTTTTAAATGTTTATTTATTTTTGAGAGAGAGAGAAACAGAGCACAAGTGGGGAGGGCCAGAGAGAGAGGGAGACACAGAATCCGAAGCAGGCTCCAGACCCCGAGCTGTCAGCACAGAGCCTGACGCAGGGCTCAAACTCACGGACCGTGAGACCATGACCTGAGCCAAAGGTGGGTGCTTAACCGATTGAGCCACCCAAGCTCCCCAAGAACGATTTTTGTCTGACTGGTGGATTATGGGGGATTCTAATTTTCTTTATTTTTTTTTTTTTTTAATTTTTTTTTTTTCAACGTTTATTCATCTTTGGGACAGAGAGAGACAGAGCATGAACGGGGGAGGGGCAGAGAGAGAGGAAGACACAGAATTGGAAACAGGCTCCAGGCTCTGAGCCATCAGCCCAGAGCCTGACGTGGGGCTCGAACTCACGGACCGCGAGATCGTGACCTGGCTGAAGTCGGACGCTCAACCAACTGCGCCACCCAGGCGCCCCTCTAATTTTCTTCTTTATGTCTTTTTACGTTTTCAAAAATTTAGAGAAGAATTTTTCAGGATTTCTGACTGCAGAAAATCAGCTTTTTAATTCTGTGCACCACGTTTAGAAACGTACCCTAATGGAATGAGATAACTAAAAGATGGAAAAGACTTCGAGGTGTATCCACTTCATCTCCAGGCCAATTCTCATTTGCTTTTATATGTGGACTTTCCCCCGGAAGTGTCCTTTTTTTGTTTTTGTTTTTTTTAATTTTTTAATGTTTATTTATTATTGACACACACACACACACACACACACACACACACACACACACACACAGAGCATGAGCAGGGGAGGGGCAGGGAGAGAGGGAGACACAGAATCCGAAGCAGGCTCCAGGCTCTGAGCCGTCAGCACAGAGCCCGACGCAGGGCTCCAACTCACAAGCTGTGAGATCGTGACCTGAGCCGAAGTCGGTAGGTAGCTCAACCAGCTGGGCCACCCAGGGGTCCCTGGAAGTGCCCTTAAAGCAGTGTAGTCCCTTGTACCGAGTGAAGAATGTCTCAATAATACCTTTTCTTAAAACAGTTGGTTCAGGTTCAGCAGTCAGTGGGTGATTTTTTTGTGTGTGCATGTGTTTCTTTGTTTTTTTTCTTAGTGCCCCTGATATACCCTTTCTTTTTGCCAACAGAATGTTAGGCCAGACCAATTGCTAAAGAAGGAAGGAGAGAGCTGTTCTCCCTGAGGACTGAACTCAGGGCCTTCACATGATGAGTTTGACACACTCACTGTCAGCTGAGTGTGTGTGTGTGTGTGTGTGTGTGTGTGTGTGTGTGTTGTAACTGTTCTTAACATATTCATTTACTCATTCATTATGTTCCCATTAAGATGTTGAAGGTCTTACAAAAATGAAGGACTTCTCTCTACATATCTTCGGTTCAGATTCCTTATGTGGTATATACTCTAGGGGCAGTTTAAATGAAGTAAAGCAAGAGTTTAAGAGGAGCCAGAGTATTTCTGCCTGAAGTGATCAGGGCTGACTTTGCACAGAACGCGACATTTGGACCTCACCTTTAAGTAAATTCGATTTCAGTAAGTAGAGACAGGAGATGCCATAATCCTCTGTGAGGGCGGGATTTGTACTTATCTTGTTGACTGCTGGCTTCTCTAGCTACTAACCGGTCCCTGATGCCTGGTAGGTGTTCAACAGAGATTTATCTAATGACCATTTGCATGCAGGGTGAAGAGAAGAGACACATAATCAAATTCTAGAGTCGTGGAAGCCAGGGTTTTGTTTTTTTCATACAAAAATTAGCCTACTTTTGCTGAAGGCTAAGCTGCATGAAGAGGAAAATTGGAAACTGAAATTGGAAAGTTCTGTATTGAATCCAGGTTCTAGTAGCCTAAGGAGTACTCAGTAGATAATCGTGACAACGGCTTGGAAATATTCATCTGGGGTGTTTTTTAAAATCAGTGGGATAGATCAAAAGTAAAGAAACCAATTATAAATCTATTAAAAGAGAGTTGAGGAGACGTGGACACAGGCTGGATATTTGATAATGTTAAGAAATTCTTGTTCATTTAAGTGTGATAGTAATATTTTGGTTATGTCTTAGAGAAACAGAAGGAAATATTTACAGGTAAAATAATACGATGTCTGGGTTTGCTTCAAAATCATCCTGGGAATTGTGGGGGGAGGGATACGGATAAACCAAGCATGGTCATGTATTAATGCCTGGTAAAATTGGGGGATGGCTAAGGAGCTTTCTGGGGTGATGGAAATGTTTTATATATTGATTGGGAGTGGCAGTGAAACAGGCACATACATTTGTCAAAACACATTGTGCACTTAAAGTTTATGCATTTTACTATATGTACGTTTTATGTAGAAAAACTAGGTAATGGTTTAGGTGGGTTCATCTTACTATTCTGTCTACTTTCTAAAGTATGTTTGAACATTTCCTAATACAAAGTAGAAAGAAAGAAAGAAAAGAAAGAAAGAAAGAAAGAAAGGGGGGGAAGAGAGGAAGAAACCTACTGCAGTATTGGGAGCAGGAAATTTATTTCAATTGAAGTTGTGGTATGGCATAAAAGGGGATCAAGTGAGAGTGACACCTTTCAGGTTACAACAGATAACGAATCACGCGGATTGAGCGGGTTTCGCCTCATTGGAACACTGGTGCAGTATTGCAGAAAACGGCATGGGTGGCTTTGACCTAGGCGTTCAAAGGAAAAAGCACAGAAGGATTTTCATTCAGTATTTTCTGATTTAGTTTGCATGTTCTCCAACCGATTTCATTATCAACATCATCAACACGTCTACTTGATAGTCTCATCCGTAAACTTGTTACTCCATCAGCTCATGAGGAAACAAACAATTTGAAGAAATTTTCTTTGATGTGCCTTTGGTGGGATTGAGACTTTCTCAGACCATAATTATGGACCCAGGAGGAACGGTATTTAGGGCTCTCCAGGCTGGGGCCTAATCCTAGAGAGATCTCTCTTGGAGCTAGTGTCCCTGGGTGCCTTGCTTCTATCAGAACTATGTCCATGGAATAGATAGTATTGTCATTTTCATGCCTGTAGATCTATTTTTACTTTAATATTTGAATGGTAACAGTTTCTGTGGGTATGTTTTTTTCCTACAGATTTGATATTACGATGACTAGAAACACCATTGATGCAAAAGTTGGAGCAGCCGTGGTCAAGGAAAGTTTTCATGACAAGGTTGACCGATCTTGACCGTGAACAAAGATGAACAACAGGCTTTAAATGTCGTGTGTGCCGGGGGAGCCTTTCATCCAAGACTTCCCAATAACATTCTGGATTATATTCAAATGAGATTAAACATACCGTCCCAGAGACACCCTGACAGGATTGAAGGGAGACATTGCCGGAGGCAGCTGTGGTCGTGGAAGTGAATTACTCTGCCGGTCCCGCCCCACACGGACCCTGTTTACCTGAATCTGTTCTTTGCTTCTTCCCTTCTGACTGAATCCTTGTATCGGCCAGGGGGGGCCCCCATCCCTCAGACAGCCCAGTGCCTCGAGGGAAGCTGACTCCCCCCCCCCCCCAGCTCCAGGGGTGAGCCTGCTTAGTTACAGCCAACCCTGTACTTACACTCTCACCAGTAGATTGTTCAGAAACCCACTTGGTCTGTTTCCTCCGACTAAGTGTAAACTCTGCGAGAATGTGGATGTTCATCTGTCTTGCCAAAGAACCTAGAACGGTGCCTGGCACATAGTTCTTAATAAACATTTCGCGAATTCCTTTTCTCATTCCTCTTCAGCAAACTGTAAATGAACACCTACTACCTGTCAGGGACTCTTCTGGATGCAAAACTACACAAGACTCAAGAAGTCTAGCAAGGAAGACAGACATACCAACAAGTCTCTAGTAATATACCATGGTTAACGCTGTCGTGAATTACACATACAAGGCTGGAGGGGCACGGAAGGAGCAGCCGACTTCCTCCGGGGAACTCACACGAGGCTTCCCAGCACTTCTTCCGGCACTTGGAGCAGATCTTCGAAGATGAGCAGAGATTTTCCAGGTGAAGCGTCAGACCAACTGCAGTGGGGCCACGTCAGCTGTTGACCAAACCAGGGCATTTGGAGAGTGAAAGGGAGGCTCCTAATAACTACACTGAATGACAAGTGTAAGCAGAGACCGTTCTGGGCAAACCAAGCCACGTGGTCAGTCCTGGAAGAAGGAGGAACACGGGAGAAGGCGGGGATGGTAGAAACACCCCGGGGAAGGCCAGCACTCTGGTGCGTCGGAGTAAGGAGTGTGGTGCAGTTGGAGGACGGGCTGTGGCTGGAGCGAAGGGTGAGGGATACGGTGTGAGGGACCTGTTCTGGTGAGCCAAGAACTCCGACTCGGTCCGCCAGCATCTGGGACCTGTGGAGCTTTCTCAGCAGGAGAGCACCGTGATCAGATTTGCATCTGGGGACAAGAGTTCTGCCGGGCATGTAGAGAAAGAACCGGAGGGACGCAGACTAAAGAGCAGCCAGACGGGAGGCTGGTGCCGCGGCTCACCAAGGGAGGATGGGCCCCTGATCTCAGGCAGCACGGAAGGGTGGCTTCAGAAGGCAGGACATACTCGAGGTAACGCTGCCGTGGAATGAACTTGCATGGAGGGCCAGGGGGTGAGGAGCAGAAGAAACGGATGATGCTGAAGTTTCCAGACTGGGTGATGGCGGCTTTTGCTGTCCATTCCCATACATGGTGACAAGCGGAAAATGACCTCAGCTGCTTGGCAGACGGAGAGTGGCCAGGGAGCAGATACAGGAAGCTGAATCGTGTAGGGGCCAAGTGCCAAGGCAAGAGGCCAATCCAAAAGCTGAGTCACTGTATCCAAGGGGTCAGCACGGGTGGAAAAGAAGGAGTCAACGTGCCTCCTGGGACCAGGGAGGTCCGTGAAGGAGAAGTATTGAAGCAGATGGGCAGGGAAGCAGGTACCCGAGGGCAGATCCATGGAAGGACAGATAAGACATGCCCCCCTACGGTTGGAGAAGTAGACCGGGCGGCAGAAGAGGTGAACCTGTAGGCAAGTCAACATAATAGGAGTGATCGGTGTGTTCGGTGCCCAGGGGAGGAAGGAACTCCGCATAGGTGAACAAATTGGCATTGTTTTGTCTACAAGCCCTCGGTGATTTAAAAAAAAAAAAGTTTTATTAATGTTTTATTTATTTTTGACAGAGAGAGAGAGAGACAGAGCATGAGCGGGGGAGGGCAGAGAGAGAGGGAGACACAGAAGGCGAAGCAGCTCCAGCCTCTGAGCCGTCGGCACAGAGCCCGACGCGGGGCTGGAGCCCACAAACCACAAGCTCCTGACCTGAGCTGAAGTCGGATGCTCAACCGACTGCGCCACCCGGGCGCCCGGAAAAGAAAACAATTTTAGGTTGTGCCTAGGAATTAAAAAAATACTGTCACATCAGGGCACCTGGGTGGCTCGGTCGGTTAAGTGTTCGACTTCGGTTCAGGTCATGATCTCCTGGCTCCCGAGTTCAAGACCCCCCTTCGGGGGTCCTGCTGTCAGCACAGAGCCTTCTTCAGACCCTCTGTCTCCCTCTCTCTGTCCTCCTCGCTCTCGAGAGCAAATAAACATTTACATGTAAAAACATATATGTTGTCGCGTCAATATATTGCTGAAGCTCTAAAAATCTTCAATCTATCTGATTTTTTGAATAGTTATACACTCGGTGATTCAACCCCCCAAAAGTATCCAAAAAGTATACGCACAGTAAAAACTCCCGCTTCCATCTCGTCCCCCGACGCTCCTGCGTCCTGGACCCCGGGACCGCGAACCGTCTCTGGTGCACCCGGCAGCAGTTCCTTTCTGCTGAGTAGATTTCGGGAGCCTGGCGTCGGGGCCACGGGGCTCCGCGTGGCGAGCCTGACAGGGTGGTCTTCAGAAAGAGGGGGCGGCGGCCGCGCCCGGTTCTGTCAACCGACGGCCGGGCGGGGCGCCACGCGTCGCCAGGCGCCCCGGCCGACCGAGGCCGCGTGGCCAGGAGGCCCGGTGCGCGCTGAGGGGCAACGGCGACGACAGTCAAATCCCGGGGCGGGGCGGGGGCCCAAGCGGCCCCTGACGAGCTCCAGACGCGCGGGCGAACTCTGGCGAAGCGCGCGGAAAACGCCGCCCTGCAGACTCGAGGGGGCGGACGCCTGGCGCCCGGAGAAGCCGCCTCCGCGGGGTGCGGGGTGCGGGGTGCGGGGTGCGGGGTGCGGGGTGGGGGAGGGGAGCCCGGAAGCCACGAGAAAGACCAGAGCGGCGACCCGGGCGCGCGAGCCACTCTGGAGCCCCGCGGACGTGCCGTCTTCTTTCCGGCGGCTCTTCTCGCGGGAACTGGGGGGGGAGGGACGTGCAAACGGGACGTGGCGGCCCGGAGGGGGTCGGCGAGGCGCCCGCAGAGCCCTCGAATCCGTCGCGTCGGCCGGGGAGGACGGAACCCCTCCGCGGGTCGCAATCCCCGTGTCTTCAGGGGCCCCCGGGGCCGGAGGCGCCTCGGGCGTGGCGGGCGTCGGCTTCGGTTCCCAGGCCGCCGCGCGCGTCCGGTCGGCCTTCCCGCCTGCCCTGCGGGCTTGGGGGGCGGAGCTCGCCTCGCCGACGAGGCCCCGGTCGTCACGCGGCTCCCGCCGGGGGGGGGTCCGGGAAGGGCCGGGAGGCGACCGGGCGAGGGACGGAGGATGTTCCAGGGACGAGGGCCGCCCGCAGGCGCAGGCGGCACGGAGCTCGTCGCGGTGTGAGGCGCGGCGGGGAGGCGTGAGTGAGAGGAGCACGGTGGTGGCCGAGGGGGGAGGACCGGAGACGAAGCCGGGCAGGGGGAG